GTTGTTGGAGAAGCTGATCCCTATACTGTACTACTATGTAAATATCACGTTAGGTTTTGAGAAAGAAGCACAATGTTGTGAAAATTATCAGAAAGTATCCCTCTGAACACATGCATAAATAAATGTCTAATCAATGAGCACATTTAAAATGAAAAAAAACCTGGAGGGAAAAATGAGCCCTCATTTCTAAGCTTCATTACATCAACACACCAATCAGTTATTTACATGAAATAATTGGATTAAAAACACTTCCATTCCATTTGTTGTTTGTTGGATAAAAACATTAAATGTCTGGTGAGAACCTCCATTCATTTCTTAAATGATTGTCTGATAAACATTTGATGAATCTGGTTTCCAACTTGAAGTAAAACTCATCTCATCATGATCCTCACTGATCAGGCAGAAGAGGCACCACGCCTCATACACATTTAAACTAATTTACATGAAAATGAAAGGAAACAGCTGTTTTAATATGAACTTCAAAGCATTTTAAATTTTTTTAGAAAACCCCCACAGAGACATAGCACCAATATAAATATTTTCCCATTGTTATAATATAATAAATATTTTTTTGTTCAGGTAGAGTTCTTGAGCTCAGCAATGAGATATTTCTCCTTTTCCTCAAGGATTTTGTAGAAGACTTCTTTGCCTTCATATCCAGCAGCATTCAGGGGACCAGAGTAGAGCTTCCTCAGCTTCTCCCTCATGTCAGGGATAGCCAAGATTTTATCATAAGCCTCCTGTGTTGTGATGACTTTTTTGTCGAGGAGCTCATCCAAAATGGACTCAATGTTGCTCACTCGAGCGATCAGCACGGCTCTATGTTTATCCACAAAGTGCTCCCCCGAGGAAAGAGGGAATGAAAAATAAACTTATTTAGGTGATGAAAAAAAGAAAAATAATTAACAACACGAACATCTGCTGATCTAAAATGATTTTTCACTCTTTAAATTGGACAGTTAACCATTTTATTGGCTTGGTTTAATCTAAAGTCATAGTTTTGGTTGTTTTCCAAAGGCAAAATGTAAATTCAAAGTAATTTGAGAAATACAAACATTTTATTGACAAGAAACATTCACGAGTACAGGCTCAGCAGGACGTTGTTTTGTTATGAGGTAATATGTCTTAATGCTGCAAAGGCTTAAAGATTATTCATATTTTTACCGTATAATAAATCCAGTGATTTTGGCCGATTTCATAATTTGCCACTACAATGTGCAGATACCGGGAATGCAGGTGGGATGATATTGATGAATTTAAAGATGGAGTCCGTTATTCTGGAGAAAGAGTGTTAAGATTTGACACCAACACCCAAACAAATACACTCCTCTCGTCAGTGCTCCTTCAGAACTGCCCTCTCACTCCCACTGCCTTCATCTTTATTTTATTTTTTTATTTTTGGGGGTGTGTCTCAGCAGACTGATGGACAGAGCAGAGCTTTTAAACACTCTGCAATGAAAAGTGCACTTCCTCCTAATACGACTCATTAGAAATGTCTTACCTTGTGAATGAACAGTGCTTGGGTAGTCATCTGAAAATATAATGCAGAGATTAATAAAATATATATGAAGCTGATTTACTGCCTTTATCTTACATGATGCATATTCAATCAAATGAAAATGGTACATCTTGTGATATTATCTTAAACTGACTTGGTCGAATTGTACACGTCCATACTGGTTGATGCTCATTTTCATTTGTGAGCTGGAGCTTGAACTTTTTGTCTGGATTGTCAATGAACACTTCGATGTAATTTGGGTTTTCGTACCTGAGAATTAACTCCTGTGAAGGAAATAAAAATAAAAAAGGGAAATAAGTTAGACTTTGAGCTAAAGTGCACCAGAATATCTTTCCCCCTTTGTCTCATGATTTTAAAATAAAAAAGATCGTGGTGGTAATTTCACTTACATCAAAGAGACAGTGACAAAACATATGAATATAAATGCTGTATATTGGTAAAATGGTGGCCATGATTGCAGATGTATTTGAATGTATTTTTATTTAGAAAGATTGAACAGAACAGAAGCGATCCTTGAGGGTGGACAGGTCTTGAGACTTCATCACTACAGCAGCTGGAGAAAGAAACGAGCCTATAATGTCACACAGCTTGTGTGGAGTGTTTTTTTTACAAGCCTTGAAACCACAAATGTTTTAGGAAGATTAAACTTCATTATGTTACCAAACATGTAAGTTAAAGCTAAATTCAGTAATTTCGTCATGTTTTCTTGTTTAAAATATTGTACTTGTACTATAGTATCCAACTCATTTTGAACCACAGTTCACTTTAGAAATTGAAGAGCAGTTCAAAACATACCTCAGGATAAATTTCTGCACTGTTCAAATCTGTGGTTAAGATGAAACTATCATTCATTTTCAGGGACTTCTCTGGATGTGACTTTCTGATTACTCTGTATCCGTAGGATACATTTCTCTTGTCCAATTCCTGTAGAAAAAAAACAAACTTTTCAACACAAAGTTGCTACAAAGTTAAAGCAGACAATGTTGTTATCTGTGTTGTGTATTTATCAAGCTAAATCTGATTATTATTGGTGTTGACAGTAAGATATGCAATAACCTGTTGTCGACCAGGATCTCGTGGGATCAGATAAGCATGGAGTGTGAGGAAATCTGTGTCGGTCTTGTATATTAACACGTTACAATATATTTCCACTGAAAGGCCCAAAAATCTCAATATGGCCATTTTTAGAGAGAAAACGGGTTCACACAGCTTGACATGGGACGATGTGACCTCAGACACTTTTTCCACATTATCTCCACAGTCATCTATGTGCAGGACTGCAAACTTGTCTAATATCGTAGGGTTGTCATCTGTACAAAATAAAAGCACAGACAATTAGTGAGGAGAAAAGGACTGCATCAGTTTTTGAAAAACATGCTGTCTGAAATTTAAAAGTCAGTTGATTTTATGTTAATATTTCTTCATGTCCACTTACCTATGCAGATCCAGTGTGGCAGGTGCACTTCATCTAACTTCCCAGCAAGGACTGTGATGTTCATTAGGGGACCTGCAGGCATGTATTGCATGCTTTTGATCCTCTCCATGTGTTCCTCCACAGAGCTGAACTGGTACTTAAAGCTGACCTTTCCCTTACAGATCCAGCGCAAGCCAGAGAGGCTGCATTCAAAGTGTCCTGCTTCAGACTGTAGGCTAAGTCATGAAAAAGAAACCGAGTGAGTGTGAAAAGTATTGCCACTCTATTTCTCATTTTGCATTGGTTTCCCTCCAGCTCCAGTTTGCTGTGACGCAGTAGTTAGGACGTTATATTTTACCTGTAAGTTGGAGCCTCATCTGCACCTGTACTGTTCACTTCAGGTTTACGTTTAGTCCAGTCACTGGAGTCCTTCTGCAGAGAACAATCATTTAAAACATTTTGTGAAGATGTTTCTTTCTGTGACATACCATAAATAAAAAAATAAAATAAATGGAAGGACTTACAATGATGCTTCCACAACCCTCAAGCTCTAAACCTCCTGAAGGCCCTTGTGAAGACACAGAAGATGTAAAGAAAATTATGTTATGTGACGTATATTAGACTACATCTGCCATTTAGGGTAGTTTTTCTCACTCCTTATTGGTCCCTGTTCTCAGGGTGGTGCCCCGTTAATATTAATAATTGTTAATAATTTTATTGACATTAATAATTATATTTATGTCAATAATTTATTTTTCATATTTGCTGATAACCAAACACGCTCCTGATCCCAACAAATAGTAGGCTACAACATTAACTACCAGTTTGTAACCGGTATGACAATGTTTAATCCACTTTGCCTCTCCTCTGCTCCGTGCTGTATGCCGAGGCTGCCGTGCTGCACTCAAGAGCAAAGTGGTGTCCTGCTGCAGAATTTATAAAGGGCAAACAAACACTGACTCATGTAGAATGAATAAACATCCAAAAATGTTGTTTTCGGATTAAAATGCCAACGTAAACCTCGAGGTACTCGGTACAGCCCTTCTGAAACCTAGCAGGTCTAATGACAATGATGCAGTCACTGAAATCGCTGATGACGTAGCTCCAACCGAAAGGAAACATAAATGTTGAGCATTCATGATGTCATTCTTTGTATAGCCTGTCTATCAATTAATTTTAAACTTGAATAAACACAGATAATATCTAACCGGGATTTCTCCCATTTGTCCGTGATGTTGAAATCTTCCAGGACACGAGGACCGGCACACCGGCGCACACACACACACACACACACACACACACACACACACACACACACAC